CGGGCCGCCAATGGCTCGCGGTCGTCGTCGTCGCCAGCTCCTCCCGCTCCTCGTCCGCAGCGGCGTGCGGGAAGACACTGAGGATCTCGCTCGCGCGCGTAAGCTCGCGCATCTCGTCGCGCTCGCGCTGCCCAAAGTCGACCGTGTTCGGCGCGCAAGTGGCGTCCGCCTCGGGATGGATGGGGACCGCCACGGGCGCGTCGGAGGGTGTGGTGTGCGGGTCGGGGTGCGCGCCGGGGACGTGCGCCTCTAGGTGTGCGGCGTCTGCGTCGCTGTCGACGTCCATCCCTTCGTTTTGCTCAGGGACGTGCATCCCCATCCCTACGCCCCGTCGGTCCCCGCCCTCGAATACCCGCATCATGAGCTCCGGCACCGTCTCCCTTAATGTCCGCGCGTCCGCATCCAGCACGAACACGTTGTACTCGAGCGGCGCGTCGGGGGAGGGCATGTCGGGGTCTAAAAAACATCCACAAATCAACCCTCCTCTCCCTTTCCTCACAAAAGTAAAGCCACTCACCAATCCCCAAAACCTTACACCTCTCCCTCCTCTTCCTCGCCACCGCACTGACAAAGCGCGCCGCCTGCGCCTTGAGCGCGGGCGAGGAGAGTCCGCGCGGGGAGTAGAGCACGACGTCGGAGAGCGTGGCGTAGATTGGCTGTGGGTGGGGTTGGGGTTAGTGTTTGGGTTTACTGAATAAAAATAGAAGGGATGAAAAAGGAAGTGGTGGGAAGAACGGGGGAGGAACAGCAGGGTGTGGAAAGGCGGAGGAGGGCGAAAGCGACGCATCGTCGTTGCCTTCATTTCTGCTCTCCGCCAAAACCCCAAGGCCCCAAAGGTACGATACGAAACCAATAAAACCAAAACCAAAAATCTCGAAATAGGTACGCACCACCTGAATCCCGAAATTCCTCAACGAAATCCCATCCGGCACGCGCGCGGGGCGGAACTCCCACTCTTCCTGTTCTTGGGCTTGCTCCTCCTTTGTCTTCTCTTGTCCCGCTTGCGCTTGATGTCGCGCCTGGTCGTGGGCGGCGCCATTGGGAGCCGAGCGGACGAGTGCGGGGCGCTACACAAAAAAAGAAAGCGAGGAGTCAGTACTTGCGGGATAAGGAAGCGCGCCATCGGAATGAGAAATCAAAGTCAAAGTCACAGAACAAAGAACAAAGAGCATAAGAACGCACGAAGGCCGCAGGAATCAGGAACGCGGCACACGACCTCCGCTCGAACGAGAAAGAAATTAATGTCAAAAGAACGAATGAAGAATAAAAGCTTTAAGCCTCGAAAGGCTGAAGAGCCGAACGCCCGCCACACAGACGCCCGCGACATCATCGCATCTGCGCCCCCACCACCACTCCCCGAATTATAAAAACGGAAAAAAAAGGAAAAAGACACAAGCCGCGTCTACGATCCGCTGGACACACGACACCGTTGCGTTGGACTCTGCACACGAGCGCCACTCCCACTCCCGCTCCCGCAAGAGCAAAAACGAGCACCGCCAAAGCCAAAAAAAGAACGCCATAGAGTCCCAGTATCCACTCCCACACCACACCACTCTCACATTACACCTCCTGCGAGACGAAGACACCTCCTACAAGCGAGAAGACCCGAAGTAGAAGCAGAAGCAGAAACGACGTCAGGAAAGGCATCGCATCGCATCGGGGCACGCGACCAACTTCCTGACTCAGGGCCTACAAAGAACACAGAGGGCAAGTAGAGCAGCAGCCCCATGACCGTCTCCCTCTGCCTTCCCCTTTTCTCCAAAAAATCGAAAGAAAAGAAGAAATAGGAATCAAAAATCGAAAACGAAAAATGTCTCCCCTCCTCTCCCCTCCTCCAAAACTCCGCCCAAAGAAACCAAAAACCAAATAGAAATCGAAATATAAACAAAAATATTGAAGAGCTCACCTCCGTAGACACGCCACTACCAACCCGCCTAACCAACTCCCTCGCGCGGAACGTACACGTCAACAGCGGTGGGCGCGCGGGGTCCCACTCTTCTTCTGGGGGGTGTCTTGCGTTCCCATTCGGATTCGCTTCTTGTTTACCATTCGTCGTGTTTTGTCCATCGACGTTTTGCTCGGGATGTGAGGGCGAGGATGTATGCGTAGGCGGGCCGGGCAAGGAGGCGTCGAGCACCGAACCCGACGAATACGAGGAGCTGCTCGAGCCCGAGCCCGAGCCCGAGGTGGACGAGCCGCCCGAGGAGGAGGCGGAGAGGGCGGAGAGCGTGGAGGTGGTTGGCGGGGTGGAGGGTGGGGGGAGGGATCTATAGTGAAAGAGGGAGAGCGAGATTAGTAAAAGTAGGACGGGGTGATAAGGATAAAATCGAATATAGAGTGAGAAAGAAGGGCAGGAAAATAGGAGCACTATAAGCGAGCGGAATTGCGGTGGAGGAGTAGAGAAATAGACAAGGAGTGCGTGCACGCGAGCACACGACCCAGCACAGCACTAAGACTGGCCGATCCATGCTCGCGTCGCGTCCGCTCTACACCCGCCAGGCGCTAGGCGCCGGACACACGATAACGAGCACGCAATCCAACGCCTAACTCGCTCTCGCTCTCGCTCTCGGGAGCACCGTCTACTCGCTCTCGCTCGCGCGCACCACAACCGAAAGCGCACGTTAAAGGTCCGCACAGCCCGCTTCGCTTCGAATACGAAAGCGAAAGCAGGGAAAGCACGCGGGGAAGGGGAAACGCGGGGAGAAGGGGAAGGCGATGCGCGGGGACGGTGAGAGGCCGAGTCGAAGGGGGGATGTACGGCACGGCATGTACGATACGATAATGTGAACGCCAGAATGGAATGGAAGGACTCGAGCATGCAGCAACCCAAGTCCAAGTGCTAGGGATGAGGGAGCATGCGAGACAAGACAGCGTGAATGAAAGCGAAGGTATGCACTTGAGCACGCGAGCACGCGAGTATGAAGGGGGGCGTCCGCCCTACACCCGCAGCACCCGCACAGACGCATTCCAACTCCAACTCCCGCTCCGACGTTGAGAGATGGATAGGGATAGGAGGAAGAGGGATGCATCGGCGGGTCCGAGCGCTCAAGAGAAAGTAGGCTGTCCCAGGAGCAGAAACAGAAGGAGTAGAAAGGGTAGAAGTAGAAGTAGAAAGCAGGGAATGGAGAATGGATGTAAAGTCGCAGCAACCTCGACCTTGTCGTCCCGGCCGGTAGACACAATAGAGAAACAAAAAGAACGAACGAAAGAAAGAAAGTGAAGTGAAACGAAGTAAAAAGGACTCACATCTCCATCTGCACGTCCTCCCCCAGCGCCGTTATCGGCGTCGCAAAGAAGCGCTCGATGTCGTCCGAAGCGGCGGTACTAGGCGTCCCAGGCGGGAGCCCGCTCGTCTGAAGCGCCTGCAGACGGTGGTGTACGGGGTGCATATGCTTGCCGTCCTCTCGCTGTTCCAGAGTCGCTATCGGCGGGCCTTCCTCCCCATCCCCGGCAATGCGTACCCCATCCCCGTCAACGTCCATCCCAACCAACTCGTCCTCCTCCTCGCTCTCCTCCTCATCCTCCTCGTCGCTCTCATCCTCATCATCGTACTCCCCCTCCTCCTCGCCCACCCCACCCGTCATACGAGGCAACTCCTCCTCCTCCTCTGCCACGACCCACACCAGCCCCCTAAACCTCGGTGCCTTCCTCCTCCTCCTCCCCGCTGCCGCGTCGCTGCGGGACCCCTCGAAGAACGTATTCTGCGCGTGGTTGTCGCCCTCGAGCCCATGGAGGAAGGGAAAGAGCACGCCGTCGGGGGGGTGTGCGAGGATGTGCGCGGTGTGGAGGGCGGCGAATTGGGGGGCGGTGAGGATATGTGCTTTTCCTCCAGCTTCGTGTCTTGCTCCTTCTCCAGATCCATGTCCAGGTAGAGGTACGGGCGAAGGTAGAGACAAGACAGGCAACCCCCCCAGAAAACCCCTTGCATGCCTCAGCCCATGTTCCTGCTCGTACTCTTGCTCAGCGTCGTTGTGCCGCACGTCGTCCATAGCAGTGTCGGTGGCGGGTAGTAACAACCAAAGTACCTCTTTCCCTTTCCGGCCACGCCCCGGCTGCTATTCCCTTTTCCGCTCTCATAACCCCTTTGGGCGTAGCCTATTATTGCATACCCCGCTCATGTGACGCCTCGTGCCCTCTCAATCACCGCTGCTATCTATCCCATCACGCTTCGCAACTTCGAATTCCCACCGGGGTTCAGAAAAATGGTGTAAATGAATGTTCGATTGGAGGAGGTAAAATGAATTTCATCCGTGCCGCGACTCTTCGAGGAATGTTAACGGTAGGACATGGCTGTAACTTGTAGACTTCCCCGCACCCCGACATCGATACCCATCTAGATCTCCCTTCCATCCCTCCATCCACTTATAACTTACATCCCAATTGATATGTAACTCTGATCTCGATCTTCCGTGGTGTCAATTCCGCTTGTCAATCACCCATCTGCCGGTATTGATCGGGTCTCCAGAAATAAATTACTCCAAGCGGCGTTGGAAATAAAATTGGAGACGGACTGACTGCGGATCCGGGAGTCGCTGGTGGGTCCTCGTCCAAAAATATTTATGTACAGACATTTTTTGGAGGTAAGTTGTAACCAAGGGCGGGAACTCTTTAAATTTATTCTTTCCAAAAATTCGGGGGTATGAGGAACATGTAGAGAGAGGTAGAAAGGCTCGGTAGCGGATGGTCCGTATCTGCTTTGTGTTGCTCCATTCAATCCCAAGTATGCAGACAAAGCCTGTTCGACTCAGGCCCGAGCCATAGTTCATTTCGCTTCCTCTTTTTTTTTTTGTCATTCCCTCAGGAAATTGTGACTTATGGCAGGTGCGAAGCGAGGGAGAAAGGCTCGGTAGCGGAGGGTCCGTATCTGCTTTCTTTCAACCACTTCCGTCCAGAGAATAATGCAGACAATGCCTGTTCGACTCAGGCCCGAGCCATCCTCTTTTTTTTGGTCATTCCCTCAGGAAATTGTGACTTATGGCAGGTGCGAAGCGAGGGAGAAAGGCTCGGTAGCGGAGGGTCCGCATCTGCTTTCCATTTCAAATTGTCGAGAGAATAATGCAGATAAAGCCTGTTCGACTCAGGCCCGACCCATGTTGGGTTGTTACACTCTTTTTGCCATTCCCCCCAAGAAATTCTATAATAAACTGAAAGTGCAGAGGGAGGTAAATACGGCTCGGTAGCGGATGGTCCGCATCTGGACTTTATTAGTATATCCCCAGATGTAACGTAGATGATGCCTGTTCGACTCAGGCCCGAGCCATCACATCTTTGTCTCGCATTTCTTTTTCATTCGCTCTGAAATCCTCGGTTGTGAGGAACATTTAGAGAGAGGTAGGAAGGCTCGGTAGCAGAGGGTCTGCATCTGCTTTCCATTATTGCTACTTGCCCAGATATAATGCAGATAATGCCTGTTCGACTCGGGCCCGAGCCATGAATGGTTTCGTCGCAATTTTTCTTTTCTTTTTGCCAGTCCCTCTAGAAATTCTCAGTTGTGAGGAACACTGAAAGAGAGGTAGGAAGGCTCGGCAGCAGTGGGTCTGCATCTGCTTTCCATGAAGTGTGTATTCCAGAGAATAATGCAGACATCGGACTCAGGCCCGAGCCATCAGAGTCTTCTCTCTATCTCTTTTGTTATTTCATTCTCCCTATGACTACCTTGGCTAATAAGCTGCGTTTACAACCAACCCAACATCCCGCACTGCCAATTCGTGGATCCCCCCTGCCTGAAATTCCAACTCAAACATTCAGCTAGGCAAGGGAGAAAATTATCAAAAGTCAGCCGTTCCAAGGCAGTTCAAGGCTGGCCTGAGAAAAGTGGTCCATATATTTGAGGCTAGAACGGGAGGAGGAAGGCTCGGCAGCAGAGGGCCCGTATCTGCTTTCCATTTCTCGTGTTCTGTAAGATAATGCAGACAAAGCCTGTTCGACTCAGGTCCGATCCATGCCCAGTTTTGATTGCTATTTTATCCTGTCATTCCCTTTAAAAATTCTGGGTCTTAAGGGAGGTACAGAGCAAAGTGGATAAGGCTCGGTAGCGGAGGGTCCACATCTGCATTCCATTAAGTGTTCAAGAAAGTAATTCAGACATGGCCTGTTTGGCTCAGGCCCGAGCCATAGGTCTGCCGCCTTTCTTTTTGTCTTTTTTGCTATTCCCGATAGGATTCTACAATATACAGTGGGTGTATAGGGAGGTAGGAAGGCTCGGTAGCAAAGGGTCTGCATCGGCCCTCAATAATTTTCTGCAGTTATCATTGATGCAGACAATGCCTGTCCGACTCAGGCCCGAGCCATTGATCTCTTCTTTGATTCTTTTTTCTGTCAGTCATTAATATTCCCTCCAGAAATGCAACAATAGAGAGCTTGCGCAAAAGCCGCACGAGCCGCATGCGGCTTTTGTGCATTGCGCAAAGCCGCGGGTTTTCCTTCGCTGTTCTAAATTCTTGTCTTGCTAAATACCATCCAATGCCCCTTGAATTCCATATTCCACTCCTGAGAGTGCTATTTGTTGGATGTGCAACTGTGGGAGGCCGCATTTTTTATGCATCACGAAGGTATCACTCAAGCTCCACTTCCATTCGCCACACTCTCACGTCTGCCGTGCAGCAGAGACAATGCCGAGGATGTTCCCTCTCCCCACAGCACCTCTCTTTCGCCTCAGGTCAGCTTACATTGAAATAGTTGATTGCCACCTCTCACATTTCAAATTTGCCATGCAATGCAAAAAAGCCGCATGCGACTCGCGCGGCTTTTGCGCAAGCTCTCTAATGTCTGCATTATTAGCTTCTACTGTACACACATCAAATGAAAAGCAGATGCGGACTCTCCGCTACCGAGCCTTATTCCCTCGTTCTGGACCTCGCATAACTCACAATTTTGGAGAGAATAAAACAGGCATCATCTGCATTATTCCCTGCAACAATCAGAATGGAAACCAGATGCAGACCATCCGCTACCGAGCTCTTTCTCCCACCCTCATTTTATTGTAGAACTTCTATGTAGGGAATAACAAAAAACATTGTACGGTAAGAATGCATGCATGGCTCGGGCCTGAGTCGAACAGGCTCCCTCTGCATAATTTTACACGCAATGCTGATAGCAAGCAGATGCAGACCTTCCACCAACGAGCCTTATCTCCCTCCCTCTACACACTTATTTTCTCGTGGAATTTTCTCAGAAATGACAAAAAGGAAAAATCAAAAACAGGGTCGAAAAGAGTGATGTTCCCACGCCCGGCATCTTGTCCTGCAACGTTTGATTGCCGCCTTCTCTTGCCTTCGAATTTGACGTACAAGGTCCCCATAGGTCGTGGTCCAACCCACAACCACCAAATTCGAAGATTATACATTGCACCGGCTTATATTAGGCAATTGGCCGGCTACCTAGTCTGGCCGGATAGGCAGTCGCTGATAGTATATCAAAACTGCAGATGCTCCTGATATATCGAACTGCATCACGATACACATGGGTATATATGCCGTCCGAGATGGTATATCGAAGTGACGTAGAAGGCCCGGGAAGTAGCGTAGAAATGTAGTTAGTTGGCCGACACTATATCCTAAATGTCAAGTGGGCATCCTCCAGCGATACCAGTTCGAACCAACGATTCTCCAGACCACGAAGCTGCTGCTCGATACCAATAAACGCAGATTCGAAAGGAAGCAGATCAGGGGAGAGTCTGTCCGAGATGAGATTCGCCAGTGCAACGTTGTCGATTTTGCCTGGGCCTGCTTCCGATATGTTAGCATGATTACTACTCGCGAGAGGAAGTGGAATACCTGTCAGCCTTGCTGCAAACCAGAAAAGAAGATAAATCAGGCGCTGGTACTTCGCAAACCGCGAAGAAAGTTTCTTGTAGCCTTTTATAATCGCAGCCAAGCCCTTCATGAGCGGCGACAACACCTTCTGACTGCTCTTCGTGTCGCAAGCTGGGCTTTGAAGCTGAATTTCGATCGCATTTTGCGTATGGAGGATAGTGGTGCTACCCCGGGTCAGGTCTGAGGCATGCTTGACAAGATCCTTGCCAGCCCTGACAATCGTTCGAGAACCAGAGTATTGTTGAGCAGCGACGAGAACTGTTTGAAGGCCGTTGTGAATTTTCTCAGCCCGACACTCAATTCCGAGTTCCTGCCCCTGAAATGAGCCTGAAATCCGGGTTGGGTCGCAGACAGGAACACGTACGCTGGGCCCCGGTGGTATCCCATCTGGAGGCTGTTTTGTTCGCCAGTATGCGGAGGCCGAGGGTGCGGATTTGAGATCTCGATTCACGCCCTCCCAAAACTTCTTGACATCATTCAAAGTCTTGTGCATTTTCTCCATGTGTTTGTCAATTTTCTCGAGTTCATCATAAATCTGCTGGCTCTCCTCCGCCGAGCCAACACCTTGCCGAAAACCTTGATCCCTGGCTGCAATATGGAATAAACATCTTAGAGAGAAACGGCGAACGCAGAGCCCTACCAGCTTTTCTGTTTTCCTGCATCAAGATGGAAATCTCACGCCTCTGTCCATTATAGCGCTTGCGGAAACCATCAAATTCCTCCGCTCGCTGATTGGACCTCTTCAACTCATCCTTCACATGTTGACGCATCTCTCGGATGATTGTTTCGGTATCTTTGTCGCACAGGGCCAGTTCACAGAACTTCAAATACAATTGCGTGAAATCTTCTAACCCTTTCAGTATTTTCATTTGATTTAGCGCGGGAGAGAACCGAAGGTTTCGGAGCAGGTCTGCGATTCTCGCACGAAGAGTTGGTGATGATTGGCCTGTCTGCAATAGACACTCGAGTTTCCTGCAAGAGGCCTTGAGACCCTGCAATTCCTGAGCGAGGGAAGCTAGAATAATGATTGAGATATGTCGTAAGCGACTAGAGTGGCAATATGTACCTCCAACTGTGAAATCTGATTTAGCATGGCCTGGACCTAAATTATACCGAAAACATACAAAGCAAAAGTGGGTCCACCTCAGTGTCTGGGCTTGAGCGTCCCTGATCTCGTGGTACATCCTTGATACGAGGTAGCCCAGCATGGGTTGCATTGAACCTAGTCACGGTACTCGATGACGGCTCTACGAAAGATACTGCGAAGTGAAAACGCGAACGTGAGGAGAGCAGCGCAACGTTTTATTAAATAATTAACCATACCTCTGTACTGGCCAAAAAAGTTTTCCAATCTCGCTCTCGCATTCTTCAAAGACTTATGATCAAGGGATTCAGGTTCACCTGGGATGTACAAATCAGGACAGTCCGATCGCAGGAAAAAGAACACGTACTTTGATAGTCGTTATACATCGATTGGACCAGCTCGAATGGCAACATTTTTTGACGCTTAACTTTTTCCTTCGCCCGGCGGTTCTGGAACCACACCTGCACCGTATCTGTCTCCGGTATATTCAGTGGGAAGGAGCGATGACTCGTACCTGGACACCTCGGGCAGTCATGTTGAGCTGGGCGGCGAGTTCTGTGCGGAGGATGGCGTTCGGCTTTGTGTCGCGCTTGAAGATGCCCTCGAGGACTTTGAGCTGGGCGCTGGTTGTGCGCTTGCGGTGTTTGACCTCGTTGGGCGTGTAGGGGTAGAAGGCGCGGTAGTCTGTGGGGTCCATGCCGGCGGGCATCGGGGACTGGGTCCAGGGAGAGTAGGAAAGCTGAGAATTGGAATGGGGGAGACGGGGAAGCGTGGTATTTATTCAACGAGAGAATGGGATCGGAGAACACAGCTTAGCGCTGGGGGATAAGGGAAGCCTAGGGATGTTACCGTCGCTTAAATAACAATTCAATGCAGCCACAGCTTTTAAAAATGAAAGTCTGGACAGTTACACGTGTAGATGAGCCTCGCATGGGCTCGGTACGTAATGAGACATATTCGAATTCTCGCTGTGGTAATCGGCCATAAACAGCAAGAACAGGGTGATCAGGCGGCGTCGAGGGCTCGTTGCATTGCCAAGCGGCGGAGATATTTCGTAGGGCAATGACATTTAATTGATTGGGGAAAAATCGGTCATACCGATTCCCGAGGGTCTTACTTGTATGGCAACAGCTTCTGGACAGCTTCGGTTTTGAAGCCCGGCCGTGCGGCAAAGGTGATTGGCGAGGTGATATGACCCATTAGGGTGCCAGGACCCAGAAGCCCACCCCAGGGGCATTTCCGGTGTTGATAATTGACCTAGCCATGTAGATGCTACATATATGAGCCCCTAAATTTTTTTCCTGGCGAATAATCACATTCTGCCACATAAAAAGAGGCAGATATAATAATAAGTGTCTGGGCCCCCACCTCGTACTGGACTGCTGACAAGCCGAGTCAACACAGTTTCAACTGGGAATTTGGGAGAGGGGAAATTAGGAAAAGAAAACCGAGGAAAATGATATCAGTGAGAGACCTGAGGACGAACATGATGGTTCAGGCTAACACCAAGGTCTTGTAAACTGATCAAAAGGT